TCTCTCTCTCTCTCTCTCTCTCTCTCTCTCTCTCTCTCTCTCTCTCTCTCTCTCTCTCTCATGCGCGCGTGCGCATAGCAGAGCCCACACACGAATGTGGGCTGTCGACGCCTGTCGCGTAGCACCGCGGCACTGCCCTCGGATATAGGGGCGGGGGGTTCTTTTTTTTTTCACCTCCGAAATAAACAGCAAAAAAAAGAAAATTGAGCCGTTCCACCCCTCCCTTTCCCCGCCATCCCGCGGACTGCCCCCATAGGACGTAGGGGGGTCGGCACAGTCGTAGTGGCAAAAACAACGCTTAATATCCGAGTAGCGGGAGACTGCCAAAAGTACCAAGTCCCACCTAAAGTACCCAGTCCCACTCTGCGCCTTCTGGCCAGCATGACGCAGGTCCCTTACCACCTGACGTCTTATATCAAAGAAATCATTAAAGAAAAGCAGTGAAAACTCAAAGAAGAATACTGAGAAGTTGAGAACCAAAGGCTAAAGAATATTGTGAAATATAAAAGAAGGAAAAATCAGAAAAAATGACCTCTCTAGGTGGAAAAGGGGCCTGTACTCGAACTCAAAAAAAATCAAAATAGGCCCTTGGTCGGGGGGGTGTGAGGGGCCACTGAGGACCTGTACTCGAACTCAACAGTGTGTGCAATAATTCCGGAGTTACGGACCTACCAAGGAAATTCTGATATTCACTAGTGCGAGGACTGAGCCCCCACAGGGCCCTAACAGACGTGCAAGTGTCCGTGGCTGTGGGCCCCAGCAAGCCTTGTGCCCGCCCTAAGTGAAGGCGGGCCTGAATATCCACAAGAAGCCTATTTTCGACATTTTCCGTATGTGGGTAAGACGCACGCCAGTTGGTTGCAGGGAAACGTGAGCCTCCAGCTATGTATCACCCACGGCCGTGGGCGCGGGCGCCGCGGGGTCAAACTTGGCGGGCGGCAGTCCCGAAGTCGCGGCCACAATTTTTACGGATTTCTCCCCGGCAAAATAAATCGCTAAAGAAAAAAAAAAAAAAAAAAAAAAAAGAGGTTGTAGCCTTGTAGGGTTTTTTGAACCCTACAAGGCTACAACTCCTTTTTTTTTTCAAATCGAATATTTTTTGTACTAAAAAAAAATGAAAATCGAAATTTGCAAAAAAAATCAAGGAAAGAAAAACGAAAAGAAGATTTTTTTTTT